TTCAGTAGTGATTTTATTTAAATCTTAATCTTTGTTTTGTATATGTTATAACTTATTTTAATTTAGGAGACTTTTTTTGCACGAAACTTGCCCAAAATATGAAATACTTATGAGCGAAAGTTGTCACTTGATCAAAATATAAACAAAATGCACTGCTAAATTGTGACAACAGTGAGATAAATCCATTGAAACGTAATGTATGTACTAAACATACTAAACCAAAGAAATCTCTAATGTTCTGAGACAAAAATATATTTTTGCGAATGTTTAAAAACAGCTTTTGGAAATTTATGGTAGATGAAACTGCATGAAAGTCTAAAAACAATGTTTTTAAGATCATAGCATATTGAACCAATGACAAAATTCTCAATGCCTCATTCAAAAACATGTATGCTTTTCATCATAATTGCATCGGCGTGGTATGATGAATTAACTGGATCTTGGCCCTCGAAACTTCGGGAAAGAGCCAACATGGCTCGCAGGCTAAAATGTTTGGAGACCCCTAGTATAGGAGAAAGCATTAACATAAAGCTAATTGTTAGTAAAACATAAATGTCATTACTATTCTTTAAAGTATCTAGAAAGAACTGTAATAAGTGTAAAATATAAGTATGTCAGGAAATTTTTTAATTTAATACTAATTACATTATAAGTTTTGTGAAGTTGATTTTATTCTCAAATTTGTTTTATAGTTAGATAATAAAATTTTATCCTATTTACAGATCTGTTTTATTCTTAGAAGGGTACTATAAAAGTTAAGTTTGTGCATAGATAATAGTTTAAATTTACTCTGCTCTCCAAAAGTTAAGGAACAACATGTTTTTTGTGTCTAATTTAAGAATGAAGTAACGTACAAACCAAAAATTTAGAGAATATGTCCACTAAACAGTTCTTTAATGAATGCAACATAGAATATTTCTAAAGTTCAGCACACACATGAATTACAAAAAAAAAAAAAAAAGAAAAAGAAAAAAAGAAAAAAGAAAATTGCACTTCTAGCAGAGAAATCCAGTCTTGGAGAAATAGTATATCACTGTTTTTGAGAAAAAAAGGGGTGGTAACATTACAAAATGTTTTTGAGAAATTAATGGATATTCTTAAATCTGATCAGGCAGCAAAATCAATAGGCAAATTCCGGGCTAACATTCAAGGCACATGTAAAACGTTTTGTCGAAAATCCAGTAAAGAGACTGTGGCAAACTTCAGACTGCAAACAGGTCACGACTACGTGGCACATCATCTTAACCCATTCCCTGCCATGATCCCCATATGGGAATCGCCTACATTTGTATACATTGTGACGTCATGTTGCACCTGGGTGGTCCCTTACGGGTGATCATGCTTTCCTGAAGATTGCAACTAAGGGTAGAAATCGAAACAAGCACGTGGACTCAGTTAGTTGAGCTCATGAGTTTATTTTTCTTGCTCTCTAGTTACTTTTCAAGAGAAAAATAATACGGTTTTTTAGCACAAAAAAGTTACTTAGGAACAATTATTTTTGTTGTACTGAACTTCCCTTCACTGGTAAATAATTAATGTATTTATATATTATTTATCCTCATACTGTAATTTGGATGGGTACAATGAACCTAGATATATCGATCCCCATTTAGGGATCATGGCTGATACTGACTAAAATTGTAAAAAAAACTCTTTTTCTTTTTTTCCAGGAAATGTCGCGTAAAAGATATCTTTCTTTAAAAGAAATTATAAATTCTAATGATTTTTTTGCATCTGACAATAATAGCCCCATAGATATTGTTGAAATTCTACCAGAGTGGGTTGATGAGATTTCAGATAATGAGGACATGGATGACAACGTAATTGATGATGAAGAACCACTTGATGTTCCCGGGTGTGTTGAAATTCACTGTGTGGCAGGATTTGAGGAAAGTGTTTTAGTGAATGAAACTGAATCTTCAGCAAATGAAGTAACAAAAGGTACCGGCTTACCACCTGCTAAAAAGAGAAAAGAAGTATTGACTTCCAATTGGAAAAAGAAGCAACCCAAGTACTTGAAACTATATGAAAATTCTGACGTTATAGAGACAAGGCGAAATGATGTCATTAGAAAACTTGGGGGAAAATTCCCGGTAGAGTGTTTTGAAATACTTTTTGATAATGAAACTGTCACCTATATTGTACAGCAGTCTGTAATATACGCCATACAGAAAAACAATCATCAATTTCAGCTTTCTAATAACTGCCTAAAAAAATTTATTGGAATACTTCTTTTCACTGGCTATCATTCACTTCCGCAAGAACAATTATATTAGTGTGAAGATGAAGACATGAACATTCTGTGTGTTAGAGCATGCATGAGTCGGAATAGGTATTTGGAAATTAAACGGTACCTACATATCAGTGACAACTCCGATCTAGAAAGGATTCCACTAGGTGAACGTGATAACCTCTTCAAGATTCGCCCATTGATTTACAAGCTGAATGACAAATTTCAACAATTTGGGTATGTCTGAAAGTTTGAGCATTGACGAACAAATGATTCGTTACTCTGGACATCACTACCTCAAACAATTTATACGTGGTAAGCCAGTGCAGTTTGGGTTCAAACAATGGGCTATCTGTGGTTCACAAACTGGATATTTTTATCACACTCAAGCGTATGAAGGCAAATCAAAGAAATTAGGAGATGATGAAAGCATTAGTGGGCTTGGAACATATGTTGCCCTTCAGATGGTATCTATTCTTCAGACACCAAATGCTCATAAAGTTTACTCTGACAATTTTTTCACAAGATTTTCTCTGATGAAAAATTTGCAGGATATTGACATTAGAGCAACCGGAACTGTTCGATTCAAGAGAATGAACAACTGCCCTATTGCAACAGACAAAGAGATAACAAAAAAAGAACTACAGATTTGATTCCCGTAATGAAATTTTAGCTGGCACGTGGAATGACAATAGTTGTGTAAGGCTTCTGTCTAATCATGAAACTATCGAACCAATATCAGAGATGAAGCGATGGAGTAGAACAGAAGAAAGAAATTCAAGTACCACAACCCAAACTGATATCAGAATATAACGAATACATGAGTGGATTTGGGATATACATTTGGGGATCGGACTTAAATTTAAAATTTCTGAAAAAACATTAATGCATTTATGAGAAAAACATGTTTTTCTTATTATTTAGATGTAAATTAACAGAAATAAAATAAAAATTGATGAAATAAAAATTTGGCAGTTAATGGGTTAATAAAATGGCATCATTCCATCTAGTATATGCCAGATTTACAATTCAGGCATTATAAATGCAGAGCGTCTTCTTATATGCCCAGAACTAGATAAAGAGTATCAGAAACATGGTTAGATAAGTAAACTGTATTGGTAATGTCAAAACTTTCATGAACTCCTTGTAAAGACTGAATCTCTTATGTTCTTTTCCTTGCCATTTAAATTTTTAACTTTTTTACTTTTGTTTCCATGTTCATTTATTCTGATTCTTTATAAATGTTTGTCCTTTTTTTTTTTATTATTTATCATTGTTCTTGTGTAATACTTGAGCTGTTTTATATGGATTGATCTTTCCAATAAAGCCATATGTAACTACAACAACATTACAAAAATGGGTTCTAATAAGGAATGTGTTCACCCCTAGCTGTAATACATTGGTGGCAGCGGCGTTCCATGTTGTCAATTACGTTGTTCAGTGAAATGGGAAGCAACAACCAGACACGGAATAATCCTTGTTCAAGCCCATCTAACGACTTCGGAGGAGGACTTAGCAGCAGTATATGGGTGGACATAATTGATCGAGGATCTTGACTCGATATCACACACTGGTCTAAGTTACAGGGAACACATATGACTGCCGAGAGAGATCCCAGCCCAAACTATTATTCCACCACCTCTGTAATTGTGTCTCCACAATGTGTAATTGGTTGTATCTGGTGCATTTTCCCCTCCAGATCAGCTGACGACCTGAATCACTTCAATGTGAGCCTGGACTCATCTGTGAAGAGGACAGATGCCCATTGTTGACTGGTAAAGGAGACGTGTTCTCTTACCCAACATAAACAGTTACCTCTGTGTCCTTGGTTCAGGAGAACACAAACAACTAGTGGTCTTGCATACAAACCTGTATTGTGCAGGCAACTGCACACTGTAATAGCTGAGATTCTTGTTCCTGTTGCTGCTAAATGATCTGACATTCTTTTGTACATTTTTGTAAATAATCCTCAGCTCAGTAATGAATAACATTACTGAGCCTCTCCTTCAGACTGAAAGAGCTAAATAAAGGTCTCCTGCAGGTGTTGTTACTTTAGATCTGCCTGGAACATGTATTCCAGACACAGAATCCTCATATTCAAACTGATTCCATAGTTGGTGGACCACACTGCGAGAGACATTAAGACATCTAGCAGCATCAGCTTGTGACATCTCCATTTCTATCCATCCGATCGCCCACCACCTCAATGAATCGGGCAAACAACTTCTCCTGGACATTGATAGATTCTCCTGGATATTGTCGACAAAACTGCTAATGACAGTTGAAGATTAACAGTGAACAAAACTTAACAATTTTTGCTTTATTTCTCCAACCCCTATATAAGTATTCCTTCTATCAAATAAAAGCGGTAGCTATTGTTTTTGCACATATTTTTTTAAACTTCGTTACTATCATGCATATAAACTGTGAATTTAAATGTCACTGGCATTTTTATAATGGTGAGCCTTCAAAAACATGCTGTTCCTTAATTTTTGAAAGGCAGTGTATTTCATCCCTATTTGCTAATACTCCTTAATTTTGCTCATTAATTGCCCTAAAAAAATATAATTTCCATATGCAGAAGTGTGTGCAAATCCTACAGTTGCTTTGTATCCTAATGCAATCACTGAAATTAAAAAAAAAAAAAAAAAAAAAAAAAAAGAGTTTATAAGTGGGTTTATAACTGGTTTTTGAGATAAGTACCTAATTAAAATGTAAAATAACTATAACTATATATATATATATTATATATATATTTTTTTTTTTCCAGATTTGAGACATAATTTCTTTTTCTTCTGTAAAATATCATCCAACTGTGCTGAGATAGTTGTGCCAATAAAAGCAAGTATCTGTTTTTCTATGAAATAATTTAGTAACATAACATGGCTAGATTTTGATTGTGCCAGATAGGGAATTTTTTTCATGTTTGATATTAAATTTTATAGTTTGATTTGTTTATACCTTACTTCTATTTTGTTTTTTGAGTTTTAGATAAATAATTTAATATGTATGTATGTAAAATTTTAAAAATGAACAAAAGAATTTTAACTTTCCTTCTTAAGTGTCTTCTTTAATTTGGCTCTTTGCTTTTCTCTCCTAAAAACTGTAATATGCTTATAATAAACTTCTCTAAATTGCATCATTTCAAAATTAAACCTTGTCATATTATCCTTAAATAATACCAATCGTGCAGATACTTATGTAACACTTTTCAAGTAATAATCTTTAAAACAATTTACAAACTGAACCTAAATTAGCTAATTGGAGTAAAATTAAAGCATATTTAGATTATTCTTAACCAAATACTTATGCTGCACATTTCACATTTTCTTCTCTGCTTCTTTGTCTTGCCAGCTTACTGTTTGCTGCTGTTCTTTCTTCAATTATATTACGAAAATGTAAATGTATTCGTGTGACTTTTAAGAAGTGTGCTGTTCACATCAATTTAACTGTGGCATTAAGTCCAGCGAGTGAGCAGTGCTATTCATTTCTATTGAGATGGCTAATTAATCGATCTTCTGTGAAGGTTCATAGGAACATCTTCACTTTGGTTGGGATGTGAAGAGGTGACCTGTCTTGCACGAACATCATTGTTTCGAGGACATTATGTTCCAGAAAGTGCGATATCACTTTCTTCTGCAACAGTTACAAGTATCATTTTCCAGTAATTGAGCAGGTCTTCCAGTCAATGTTTGCACAGTATTCTTCAAAGAAAAAAGGGTCCACAATAATGTATGCAGTAAAGCCACTCCAAACAGTTAAATGCAGTGAATGTAGGGACTCTTCAATATATGCACCTGGATTCTTTGTCCAGATTCGTCAGTTATGGGTGTTAACTGTTCCATGTAATGAAAAATTAGCCTCATCTGTCCACAAGATATTGAGAAGCCTTTGGATTATCGTCAATTTAAACAAAGATCAATTTGTGAACACATACAGCTTAGCTTTATCATTTGATAAGACCTGATGCACTGATTGCAGCTTGTAAGGGTACAATTTTTAAAACACCTTGAAGGATGTGGAATACTGATGACTCCAGTGTTTTATGCCACTTCTTCAGCATCACTTTCTGCACTTGGTGAATGTTCTCTTAGACTGTCCATCTGCAAAGTCACATTGCTTTTAAATAATTTTAAATAAAGTGCGTAAATCACATTTGGCGTTATTATCGCTTGTAACAAATATGCCAAATTTCAAAATGTGCCAATATGTAAATTCATGTTAGCTTAGGAAATTTTGAGTAAAAAACTCTTAATTTTTTGCAGATATGCTTAGAAGTACATCTACTTTAAGATGATGGTTCAAAATTTGCAGGTTATATTAAAAAAAATTTCAAAAAATTCAGAAAAATTATTTAAAAATATAAATTTCAAAAGTTAATCATAAAAAATAGGCAAATTTTGTGTCAAATTACCTATATTAAAATAATGCTATATATAAATCTAATACATATCCTAAGTCGCGCTTTTGAGACATGAAAAATGCAAGTTGAATTTTGTTAATCAGCAAAGTAGAACTGGATATATAGAACTGTTCCTTTTTTTTTCCCCCTTTCTTTTTTTTTTTTCTTTTCTTTTTCTTTCTTTTTATTTTTTCCTTTTCTTTCTTTTTTTATTTTTGTGGTGTACATCTGTAAATAAAGCGTGTAACAATGCCATTAAATGCTGAAAATTACTTCTTTTCAGTTTTAAAATCTGCAGCTTTTAATGCTGCTTTTTGCTTTCATGCAAGAAGTATACTGCCATATTTAATTTGAAATTAATCCATGCTGATCTTCCAATTCATGATTAAAGATATTCATATCAAATAACAGCTGCCATAATTGGTACTATTCCGTTAAAGCAGCGTCAGTTAAAAATGAAGAAAAGTGAGAAGAAAATAATGCTACAATAACATGCCAAACATCGTGGCTCAAGATTTCCGGTTTTCATTTGAAATATTATCACATTATTTTTTTTTGCCATATTTCGCCATTGTTTTCTAATATGATGGACTACACTGTTTAGAAATTACCTAATGTCAAAGAGACTGCCATAAGATTCCTGCAGGACAAAGGAACAATTCATAGCAATTGACTTTGTTCTCAAAATCATTCGATGCAGTTAACTTTTGACTCAAACAAAGCTCCTATATGGCGTTATTACATATATTCTTGCTGTGGGAAAAAAAAAAAAAAAAAAAGGATTGAGAATCCAAACACGTTTTGAAGGCTCACGTCTTTCTTTCCACAGTGCTGTATATTTTATCTATCTGTGGTGTCAGGAATTGATGTTGACTGAATTTTGCTAACTTCAGTTAAAAATCAGTCATAATAGTACATTAGAATATCTACTTGAGGGAGCTATGTGCAAGTAGTTTGATGTCTTGTAAAAGAAGGAAAATCGGCAGAGCAAAATCATAGAAACTGACAAGTCTTTTCACACACGCACACACACACACACACACACACACACAAAAAAAAAAAACATTGTACATGTTTTTTCGGAACGATGACTACTTAGGGGTTTAATGTAAAGAATGTTTTCTGGTCGCTGTTCCCGATCGTTGTGCTATAATGACTACCATTCAGGAAAACATTGCAGATGACAGTATAATATTTTCTAGACTGTTAGAAAGGATATAAGAAAGAGGAATTAAGAAATGCTGAACATTTTACTGTGAATTGCAGTTATAATTTTGTTGACCCCGAAACTGGATGCTGTACCTAAACTGTGGAGCGATTGTAGGGCAGAGCTAAGTGGAAAAATAAATTTCAGTGGGGCACTGCTCGCCACCATTTAGAGTCATATTTGATGGAATTTATGTAGTGTCAGCTATATTAAAAAAATGAAATTTTTCTATAATTTTGAATGATACAGTCAAAAGTCGTTAATTTGGACACCCATAATCCGGAATGATCTATAATCCAGACCTCAAAGCTACAAACTTTCTGCGCATGCGCATAGGCATTTATGCATGCGCGTAAGACCTTTACGGCTGCGAATATGCGTGTGCGCGCTTAACGTATAACGGACGGTATAAGCTAAGCGCTAAAATTATCTAATTCAGTAATGTTGCAGATTGCGTTGTTCCTTAATCTTCGAATTGGATCCGGCTTATTATTTTTATTTGTTAGAGCAATTTTATAAAAGTAAGCTTGAACTTTCATAAAAGTAAGCATCTGATTGGACTATTTTTTATTCTTCTTCTTTTTTTTTCTTTAACTGCGAACTAAGCGGGGAAATTCCCTTTTCACTCAGTTACATGTGTGCACTTGATAGAGTAATGTAACGTTTTTCAGCTTTGTGAGATATCCATATTAAATCTTTATATTAATAATCTCTGCTGTGAATATTTAATTTGTAACTTGCACGTTGTATCCCTGAGAGTTGCAACATAATAAATTTGGCGTCCGCGACTTTATATTTTTGGATGAAATATGGATGTAAAAGTTTTGAAAGCAAAACGAAAGTTGCTGAGAACAGCGTTTACGGTATGCTGCAACGATATAGCTCAGAAGATCGAAAACAAAAGTTTAATAAGTGACGTTTTTAAGTTTATAAGTTAAAAAAGTTTTTTGTAAATTTTATGCCTTTTAGATCATAATTGCTCTTTATTTCATAAATTACGGTTTCATATTTTTAATTTTATAATTTCTGCATGCCATCTTACTAGATTTAAACTGATGATCTATAATCCGGAAAAATCGATAAGCTGGAATCGGCGAAGTCCTGACGAGTCCGGATTAACGACTTTTGACCGTATTTGTAATTTTATTCCGTTAAGATTGAATATATTCTAGATTGAATTTCCTTTTGTTTTATGATTTTTATTAATATGTAGAACATTCTTTATGCCACCTGTTGAGATTAAATTTCGTTTTGTTATTTTTTATTTATACATAGTATACCCTAGATTAAAAAACAAAAAACAGAAATTTACTTTCCTTAAAAATTAAAAAATTGAAATTTTTGAAAATGTACTCTTTACAGAAAAGTTTTTTTTTTTTTTTTTTTTTTTTTTTTTTTTTTTAGTTTTTTGAACTCTGTTATTATTTTATAATTATATACTTGGCAACAATTGGCGCCTCCCCCCAAAAGTGGCACATATTATTTAACTGACGCCATTTTAACAGAATAGTATGCCATAATCTATAATGCAGAAACCTATGATAAGTTGAATGATATTAAAAAAGCAATAGTATATTTTAATTATTGTATTTAATTTACACACTGAAATTTAAATTTACTGAGACTAATTATATTTAATGATATAAATAAAATGTCATAAAATTACAGGCCATGATATAGCATTTATATAATTATAGTTTAAAAAATATTAATGAAATATGATATTGCTGCTATACATGCATTATGAGAGTCTACCATTTTCCATGTCTGATGGATGTAGCATTTCTAACATTTTAGAAAGATTAAATTTTCTGTATTAGAGAAGGTATGTGTAAAAGTAAAGTAAATTGGAGGACAAAAAGTGTACCTTTCTGAAAAGGAAATCCTGCATGTAATGATCTTTTCAATTTTTCTTGACTGATTAATTTTCTTTTTTTTTTTTTTTTTTTTTTTTTTTTTTTTTTTTTTTTTTTTTTTTTTTTTCAATTGCATTATGTCCACTGCCAAAGTTTCTTCAAAAAATAAATATGCAAGTAAACGTCTTATGATTATTTCTTAATAAAACATGTTGAATTACAGTCATCTCAGATCTTTTCAATTTTTCTTGACTGATTAATTTTCTCTTTTTCAATTGCATTATGTCCACTGCCAAAGTTTCTTCAAAAAATAAATATGCAAGTAAATTTCTTATGATTATTTCTTAATAAAACATATAGAATTACAGTCATCTCATATTGGATCCTCAAACACTGACCATAGTCATTTTCCTTTGTATTTTTTCAATTTTATTTAAAAGGGGATATTAAAAAATTTTCCTTGGTGGAAAATCATTTTTAACGCAGTATAATCAGTGTTTTTCAAAAACATTTTATTGTTATATGACATAAATTTTTGCTTTAAATATTTTGTCATTCTGCTACCCCATCATACTACCGCCCATATACCAAGATAAAAATAATGAATAAAAAATTTCAGATTTATAATTTAAACATTACTAGCCATTTTATCAAAAAGAAGAAAAGTTTCTTTTTGATCCAATAAAATAAACAACTGTTTATTACAGTTATAATCATAAGTATGTTCTGTGTTGATAGACCTTACATTTTTTTTTTTTTTTTTTTTCTTTTCAGTTTAGGTTTTTAATCGATGTGCACTTTCGTCCATGTAGGTATTTTTCTCATAAGTAATCATCACGGTGGTTTTGTTTCTATGTGTGTGTATGCTTTTTGTCATGTGCATTTTCGTCTAGTAAACTTTTGTTGGAGAGTTTATGAAATTACCTTCATATTCTTTTACATTTTCCTTCCTTTTATATTCTGTGTATTACTAGAGGTTCAGGTACCAATTTTCAAGTAGGGTTGTTTTGTATTAGCATTCATATGTTTACTGAATTTTAAAATGATGTTTATTTTTAAGTAACATTTTCCAACCATTTCTCAATTTTTTTTTATTCCAATATGATGCAAGACCTTGTATGAAGACCATCTGTGATAACTCTATGTATAAAAAGTATTATTTTTCCATTGTATTTATCTGTTTGCATATTAAAATTTTTACAGCCAGAAAAACTTGCATTTCTCTGAAATTCAATACAGTACAAAGTCCGTGATCCGGACATGTCAGGACTTCCAAGATTCCAGGTTTGGAATTTTTTCAGATATTAAATCATCAATTTAAATCTAGGTAGATGGCATGTAGAATTAATAAAATTAAAAGTATGAAATCATAATTTATGAAATAATGAAACATTTATGATCTAAAGTGTTTCAAAGTTTAGAGAAAAAAGCTTAATATTTGTCTACTTAATTAAACATTTCTTTCAAGTTGTTGTGGTTGCTTCATTTTTTGTGCTAATATTTTCTCTTTAATTCTATAGACAGACATAATATCTTGTTCAGTTACAAAGTTCCATTGTTGAAGTCCTGTAATTGCCGTGTCTAGGATTCTGACGAACTTGTCAATCGAAATTTTTTTGTTTTCAGTAACTTTTCTGTCACTTTCTTTACCATCGGTAGCGCTACTTTCTGAATGTAGAACCATACTACAGATTTCGCCATCCGTTAATTGATTGATGATTGGGGCATTGTCATTGCAATGAAAAACTTCTGTTATATCATCTTCATTTATTGCTGCTTCTCCACATTTCTTTAAAATTTCCATTAAATGGAAAATTTAACCTTTGGTTTGTAATATCTGAAAACCTTCAATTTCATAGTTATCATCTTCATCATCCTCACCATGAAATATAGTAGCTGGCCATAAATTATGCTGAGTATTTTTTGAAGTATCTAGAGACACATCCTCCCACAATCTTGCGATTCTCCACACAGTAGATTTTATGCTAAAACATTTAAAAAACTCTTGACTAGTTTTGCCATTATTCAAGAAATTTAACATGAATTTTAAAAATGCTACTTTATAATTGTGTTTCAGTGCACACGCTATTCTAATATCAATAGGCTGAATGATGGATGTACAATTTGAAGGAAAGAGTAATACGGATTCATTTTCTTTCACTAAATCTTTAAGTATGAGCTGTGCATTCATCTGCAATAACGGCAACTTTTGCATCATCGGGTAAACCAATTATTCATTAACGTTCATGTCATCCATGCTGTTTTATTTGCACAGTTTATAACGGTGAAAATCTTTACTTCTTTAAATACTAAAGATTGTGTATTTTTCCCAATTATGAAAAGTGTGTTCCTGCAGCATTTGTGCATGCGAAAATTGTTAATCTCGCTTTGGAATCATCGACACCAACTGGAACCTTTTCTGTTGAGGTCGCCAAGGTATTTCTGGAGATAACATTTCACTATTAATGAGTTCATCTGCAAATAGTTTAGCATCTTTGGTATCAGCTGAAGCTTTATCACCTGAAATTTTTAATTTCTTTATACCACGGTGATTTTTAAATTTGAGGAGCATCGTCATCACAATGAAAAACTCCTTTTATATCATCTTCAGTAAAATCCTAGTATATGGTACGGCCTTGGCGCGATTTTGAAAATTGTTGCCTATACCAAAATGATTTGTTTACTACTACTCATAAATGCTGCGTTTACTGCTCATCATGAAGTCACCAAAAGTAGCCAAATCCCGTGTCCCAACATTTCTCTATAAAAGCCGTCAATTAGAAAATTTCACCATATGTTTGCGATATATTAAAACCTTTAGATTCACAGCTGCCATCATAAAATTTAGCTATCGTTCACTATACATATTTGGCTATGTATCATGAGACTGGGGACTTAAATGCTTCTACCGTGCACTGAGACAATTTAAGCCTGAATTGTATAAGGTTAGTTATTTATTATACTCACATCTATTCCTTGCACGTGCTTAAGGCTTATCTGAGTACTGAATAAATGAATTCCCACATATACTTAAGGTTTATTGAGGGCTGGCACTAGAAATATTTCCTGCCTGATGCAGTCTCTGTGGGTCCTAAATTCTGCTACCAAGCACCTCCCTTTGTCTTCCCTAAATTCTGCCGCTCGGTGCTGCTTCTGGGTTTATGCGAATAATAAATCAGTTATTCTTAATTCAAATAGCACTAAATATATTCTTTTGGCCTATGAGTCTTATTAACAAAATCTGTTTTTAGCATATGGAGAGATATTTTTGTTAAATTTTTCCTGTCAACATTTCTTAGTGCATTTAACCACCTGTGCTACGACAAAACTTCACGGTTGCGGTGCCAGGTGCTAAAATATAACAAGCGATAAAGTGTCTCATTTACACCACTCCACGTCTCCGAGTGCAATCCAGAGCTGTAACTCGAGAAATAAACAATCTCGTTTTTAGGCGACGTGTGCACCACGTTATTTTCATTTTTACGTGCGGTTTGAGACAAAAGCATGTGTTGATAAACATGCAGGGATGAAAGCAAAATATAATAAAAAATGATTTGCCAGGTTGTTGGCATGAGGGATATAAAATATTAGTAAGTGTAAAATCAACATTTCTGTGTTTCGGTTTGAGCTGTAGTATGCAAAGCAGATGCGCAGCTACGGAGCCAAATTATTGCTCATAGAAATTTAAGTTAAAATGATCCTTTCTTCAATAACAATATATTTTATTTAGTGCTGAAGTGAAATTAAGAATTGGAACTCTCTACATGTTTTATTATGCCTGGGGGGGAATCAAATGTGCATACGTAAAGCACACGCACAATAAATAAATAATTAAAAGAAGTTAGGAGTGACTTTGAGGTCCAGATTTTAGATCATTCTGGATAATGGATGTCTGGACCTCAGACTTTGTATTATATAATTCATCAATTCTAATATTTCTGATTGTGCTGCTGTAATTTCATATGTCATTTATGCCAAGTACAGTCAAAAGTCGTTAATTCGGACCTCAAAGCTAAAAACTTTCTGCGCATGCGCCGCGTTGACACATGTGCATAGGCGTTTACGCGTGCGCGTAAGACCTTTACGACTGCGCATATGCGTGTACGCAAGCGCAGAATACGTTTTCGCCTGCGATTTTTATGTATAATGAACGGTATAAGCTAGAATTATCTAATTATCTATTTCAGTTAATGTTGATGATTGCGTTGTTCCTTAATCTTCGAATTGGATTCGGCTTATTATTTTTGGCAGACTGTAAGAGCAATTTTATAAAAGTAAACTTGAACTTTCGATTATGTCAAATAGAATTTCCGATGCTGGAGCTCCCAAAGGATCTACAAAACGAAAGTATGTTTCGATGTCCATCAAACAAAAAGTGTACTTGCTGCAAAAAAATGGATTAAGACATGAAGAAGATGACAGAGAGGTTAGTGAAAACGAAAAAATTTCGTTTGACAAGTTAGTCGGTATTCTCGGCACAGTAATTACGGGACTTGACAGCGGAACTTTGTAACTGAACAAAAAATTATGTCTGTTTATAGAATGAAAGAGAAAGCATTTTCACGTAAAACGAAGCAACTTAAACAACTTACATTGAAAGAAATGTTTAATAAAGTAAACAAGTAAATATTAAGCTTTTTTTTGTAAATTTTGATACCCTTTAGATCATAATTGTTCTTTATTTCATAAATTACGGTTTCATATTTTTAATTTTAGAATTTCTGCATGCCATCTTACAAGATTTAAACTGATGATCTATAATCCGGGAATCGCCGAAGTCCCGACGAGTCCGGATTAACGACTTTTGACTGTATTTAAATATGTGTGTAATAGATTGGAGGGTAGTTTTGTTTGTTTTCGTGTGTACGTGCGTGCATATGTGTGTGTTATTAAATAAAAAAAATTAAATTATTATTTTTGGCTCTAAAATTATTATTGGCAGTTAGAGTTTTAGTTGACAGAATCATTTACATCCCCAGGTTTCTGTAAAAGTCATATACAGAGTAATCTGGAAATGAAACAATCCAGAGAAGTTTGTTAAGCCATTCCTATTTGTAGAATAGAAAGGCAAAATACCCAAATTAAAATTCAGCATTCTGGGGCTACTGCAAATTTGAATTATAATTTTTATTTGCATATTTTTATATTACATCCAGTGTCGCCATATCGTGCAATTTTTTTTGCAAATTTGCGACTTTTGACTTGTGCTACTCAAATTTTAATACTTGTGCTACTAAAATTTTAATATTTGCGATTTTGCGGAATTTTCGCAACATCCATAATTTTTTAATGCTTTTTTTTGTAACTTCAAAGATTTCTTTTTTAATATATCGTAAAATGCTTTTATGTTAAAATAATGTATCAGTTGAAAATAATTTATATTAAGAAAAAGTTTATTTAGGCTTAAATAAAAGTTGGCGTGTGGCAATCTTATTAACATGTGGGCTTTCCTTTACAAGGCTGCACAGCCTGATGTCAGTATAACGAGAAAAGGGTTAGGAAAGTAAGTGAAAAAGGTAAAAAGAAATTTTAAAAATGTTTCGAAACTTCTCACCACCCTCACTCGAAACCTCGTGTGATTTATTTTTCAGTCCCCCTCAGTTCTATGGTGATAATGAATCAAACCAAAGAACTTGCAGCTTTCGTGCCATATATTCGGTACCTAAACAGATAAAGAAATGAAATTAATACTCCTGATAGTAATATTGCTAAGAACTAAGCAATAGAAATGACTTAAAAATCAAAGCAAATTTTGTAAATAACAAAGCAAATAATTTAACAATGAAAGAACAAGGCTTTCTTAAGTAATCAGAATCTAAAACAGATCCATCACACAGAATAGAAAACTCACTGAAAAGCATTCCTCAATTAAAAGGTTAAAAAAACAATGAATTAAAAAACAAAGCTGTCAGTTCAAAATTTAGTACAAAAGGGCTAACAGTCTAAACGTGAGGAATCTTTTAACAGTGGATATCCACAAATTAATTTAAAACTAGAAGCCTAAATTAAATGAGAATTAATTTGAAAAGAAATGGATATTTAAACAATTGAAAATGAGCAATATAATTTTAAAATTTCAAGCGAAGATAAATTAAAAAGATCTAATGTAATACAGTCTGTAACTTACAGAACCAATAGTCGGTAAATTTGTGATAACGTCATAGGTAATGTGAGTATGCATAAATATGATGTCACAAAAATCACGTGATTGCTGGCATCATTTGCGATTTTTGCGACTTTTTTAGTCTTCTTTTGCTACTTTAGTTGAAAATTTTCTGGTAACACTGCTTACATCTGTGTTTAAAAATTATTACAGACAATTTTATTTAATCCCATGAAGATAAAAAATAGTAAACTTATTTTATGTAATTGGATCATATGAAAAATATTTATAACAGAAACAACATTAAGTGCTGTATCAAAAAAAAAAATGTGTAATATATGTCATGTTAGGTAACTCTGTAAGACAACAGTACTAAAAATTTGTAAGTATCACCGCACTATTACTTATAACTTAATTTCTTAATATTTTTGTTCATTCCCTTTAGTTATGCTAGCTGTGTTTGAGCTCTTAAATTTTAGGGTTCTGTCTAGTCATATTTGCATCAGACCGTGAGTAACATGAATGCCCCCTGCACCAGAATATGTTGTAATTAGTAGTGTGCAATTTATGATGTCAATAAACTTTGTTTGATGGCTACAATAATTTTCTTTTTTTTCAACAGGAGAATTTCTATTACATGAGATCTACAAAACAGCAATAAATATACACCACTTATCTGATGCTCTAAGCAAAATATGGCCACTTCAAATGAAGAGTGGGAAGTTTCAAAAGAGAACATTCGGCCAATACAGCGAGGAAGGAGGCCTAGTAAGTTAAATGCATGTCTAACACTCCATCCTGATGATGTTATTTTAAAGCAGCGTGATGTGTTTGAAAAAGAGTTAAGGATATATTCCGGGGATGATCCTCTTTCTGTGTGGCATAAATATATAAAATGGATTGAACAGAATTTTCCTAAAGGAGGCAAAGAAAGTCATCTTGAACAGCTCCTTCAGCGCTGTTTGTCTATAATGAAAAATGAATCAAAATATTATGACGATGATCGATTTATTGATATATGGCTAAAATTTGCAAATATGTCTTTACGACCAATAGATGTTTATAATTATATGTACAGCAATAATATTGGCTGCAAGTCTGCACCATTTTTTATTGCATGGTCTTGGGAATTAGAGCAGCAAGGTAACTTAAAAAAGGCAGATGAAGTTTTATGCGAAGGTTTTAATCGTAAAGTTCAGCCCCTTGAGATGCTTCAAACTAAGATGTGTGAATTTGAAAGGAGAGTGGTAAATAAAATTCACACATCATCAGTTCAAGAGACTGGCAACACAGAACAGAGTCGTTCTGCATTTGCTTTGCTGAAACCTCAAAAACGAAATTTAGCCCCTGTTTCAAGAACAGGAGATTCAGTTGTTGAAGCCCCTAGGGCAACAATGCTGCTTGGTAAAGAGCAGCCTGTACCAAAAATTACTTCTCAGACTAAGGCAATCCCATTCAAAATCTATAATTCTGAAAATATTGCACCATCCCTTCCTGTTAAAGCTGAAAGCAGTGAACCATTTATTTTACATTCTGAAACCTCTAAAGAGAATGAAAAAAAGCCAGCCAAATGGAATAAAGTAAAATTCAAACCAGTTTCTAAAACATCTGGTGAATTTAAAGAGCCTACCTTTAAATTACATTGCGATGATACGGCCCAGCTGCCTAAAACACCCAGATTAGTGCCTAGAGTATCAAATGTACTTGGCATTCGCAGTGAAGATGAAAGCCCACCAATTGCTTTATTTGAACAACCTGATTCATCAAAGGTTCCCATGTATGATAAAAATAAAGTTTATGGAGGTGCTGAAGAATATTCTTTAGAAGAGATTCGAGCTGCAGCATGGTTTGAGAAAAAGCAAAAAAATGAATTGGCTTCACAGGAGACAGTACATGTAGAATGTCGGAAAAGGGAAAGAGAATTGCAAAATAAAGTGCAGAATCTGGAGGAACAGATAAAATATCTTTTTTCTTCTGTATATTCTCAGTATCAACAGATGTGTGATAATTGCAAAACAAAAAGTGATGCACATAAAAATGAATTTGGAGTTGTCAGACATAATATTAATTGTAACTCTTCACAGTTAGATATAGTTTCTAATGTAAAAGTTGGAAAGGATTCTGAACATTCCACTAAACATTTCATGACTGTAGAAAATTTACCTTCAAGTAAAACATTTGTAAGCAAAAGCAACACAAATGAACTCTTCTCAGGAAAAAGTTCCCAATCAAAAAGCTATATTGAAGCTGAAAATATGGTGCGAGATTTGTATAATGGAACATTCACGAATATAGCTGATGCAGTATTAGTTACTGATTTACAGGAAAGTAATGATGGTTCCAAATTGGCTTGTTTAGATTCTGAGCCTAAATATTCACATATTTTGCAAAATAAAATTTCTTATAATGAAGTTAAGTTTGATTGTGGTGCAAAAAATACCGAGAGTAAAAACTACAAGAACTCGCTGCCATTTACTTTTTATCATGATCCAACAGAAATTATTTCCGAGTCTGCTAGCATTAATATTAAAAATCAGTGCAGTTCTAAATCGCAAACTGCTAAATCGGAAGATTATGGACGTCCGTTTGAAAAAGATCTAGCAATAGAGGATGTAGAGAACATCCCACCAGAAGGATATGTTCAAGAATCAGAAAAGCGGGAATTAGCAGGAATCTTAAAGCCTTCAGTAAATGTATTTTACATACCACTGGAGGAACAAGATGCACAAGAAGAATCTGATCCTGAAGATGGTTGCATTTATAACAACTATCATCCATTGCAAGATGAAACATTAGTTCCACCATGTAACACAGAACAATTCACAGCAGCTACGTTTCTTTCCTCGACCCCTTGTCCTGGTAAGCATAATAATAATGCATCAGGATCCGAGGCAATAGTAGATGGCACTGCACATAGTATGCAACATAGTGACCCAGCATCAGAAAACAGAATATCTGTCAACACACAATGTATCTCAGATGTGCTGAATAAGAGCAAACTAAATAAAATGGAAGGAAAGTCTTCTATTAAAGATCAAAGTACTTTACAAAGATTCATTAGTGGTCGTCTTAGTACCATTATGGAGACAAGCCGAGACTGTAATAGTAAGTCATCTTCATCAAATGGTTCTCCAAGTATTATGAAATTGAGTCAGTTAGATCAGTACTCTATATTTCATAGTAATAATAATCTTTCTTCAAAAATAGAAGCAGCAAAGCAACCAAGTAATCTTACACTTAACTCAAAACCATCAACTGGTTTTCCTGATACAATACCTGAAAAGGGCAATGAATTACCTCCAGTAACTTATGCTATTATAGATGATGAAAACTTAGACCCTTTTGATATTAAACTCCAAAATAAATTATTAGAATCTCTAAAACTGCCAGAAAGCTTTTATAATAACTTTGAAATATCAAATAAACTAATAAAATCAATAAAAGTAGGTGAAAATATTGAAATTGGTAAGGAATTGTATGCCATTGAAAACCTTATAGGTGAGGGTGCTTTTGCAAAAGTATTTGAAATAGAGAAGGTGGGTATGAAAAATTTTGATAGTAATTCGTGCACAAAATTTGCTCTTAAAATTTGTAAAGATAGAAATGAATGGGAGCTTTACATAACTACTGAACTGCATAACAGGCTAGAAAAAATGAATAGTTTACCAGATATTAGATTATCAGTCTTAAAAATAATTTCAGCAGTAAAATGTACCAATGCTATATTTTTCGTAACTGAATTCAGCCACCAAGGAACTTTACTTGATTTTGTAAACTTTTATGGTTCCTTCAACACTAACAAAATTCCAGAATTGGTTATCATGTATTTAACTATGGAACTACTATACATAATGAGCAAAATACACGAGTGTAATATTATTCATGGAGATGTAAAGCCTGATAATATTATATTAATAGAAGATGCTATAAAGATTGATCTATTAGACCATATACCTGAAAAAACTACATTTCTCCGATTTATAGACTTTGGACAAGCAATTGATTTGAGCTTCTTTAAACAAGACGTTTCTTTTAAAACTGTTACAAAGTACAATTGTACTGAAATGATGGAGAATAAACCATGGCTTTTTCAGATAGATTGGTTTGGAATTGCCAACTGTATTCATGTTATGTTATTTTCTGAATACATGACTGTGCAAAAAAAAGATGGCAAGTGGCAGATAGGGAAAAAATTAAAAAGATATTGGGATAACGAACTCTGGGAGCCATTGTTTCAGGAATTACTGAATATACCATCTTGTTCTAATCAACCAAATGTAAAATACTTTATTGATAAGATTATTAGTAAGCTACAGCAGAATGCTTCTAGTTTAAAAATGCATCTGGCTCGACTTATGTGTTCATATACAAAAAAAAAATAAGTAATTTTTATATATATGCTATATTTTTTATCTTCCATAACTCTTTTAATCATTTGTGTAATTAGCATTATATGTAAACATTAAAATATTGTTTTATATAAATCTTCATCCCTTGCATTCTTTAAAATCATACACCATTACCATTATTGCTTATTACAAATTTAATAAATATAAGAGGAGTTAAAAACTGATATGAAGACAAGCATTTCTAGAGACTGTATTAAGTTTTAATTAATTTTGCAATAGAAATTTGTAAAGAAATTTTTACTTTCCCAATTTGTTTCCATATTTAATTAAAACTGATGTTAAAGTAATTCATCCTTTTGAAATAAATTATATAAAATTTTTCAGGCTGAACACAAATTTCTCGCCAATTGAAATAGTGCTAGAACGTATTTTTAGTTCCAAAATTAAGTATGATACTTGTATACCTATCATTTATTCAGTCAAATTATGTTTATGCAAGAAAATAGAAAAATTTAACAGTTTAAATATCCTTTTACTGAAGAGAAAAATAAATAAAAAGATGCCTTTGAAATGTTAAGAAATCTTCTGTAATAATACTTTCTTTCCTCCAAACCTGCTTATTTATTTTTTTCATAATTTGCAAGACCTTTAGTTCTATCTAGGCTTATAGTACTTTTTTTTTTCTTTTTAGCCCAAAGGGCATTAGTCCAGAAGGGCTATTAGTTTCGTTTTGGCATTTTGCATTCATTCACTTTTCAAATTGTTACCACCAAATATTAGAGCCCTGTGTTATATTTAAAGAAGTTAAATAATGAAGAATCTGCATAAATGTATGTATGTTTCTCGCATTGTGATAAAACAATGGTACCTGGAGCCATCAAATTTTGAATAATGTAATCTTCCACTGAATTTGGGCATATGGAAGCCCGAATTTAGAATTTCAAATTAATTTTATTATCAGTTTCATATTTTGTAACACTTTAACAAAATTTTGATTAACAGACTCGACGATTTCAAAGCGAGCAATGGCAATACTGTACGAAACTTAGTCTACAAATTCCATTCACCTACCTCTAGTGATTTTCAGCTTAATTTTTCTTATCAAACTTTATTTGATCTGAATTGAATCTACTGTACATACATGTGGAACATTTTATCAAAAAAATGTTTAATCAATTAATATTTGTATTTAATATTGTTTTACATCAATACACAGGATATTCCTAAATTTACGCATACAATATTATGTATTTAAATTATGAATTTCCTACTCGAGATTTTCTCTATGTAAAAGTGTAACAAAATTACAAAATGAAATCAGCCAAAGAACATAAAATTTTAAATATTTAATTAAATATTAACATATTTACCTCAGAATCATATGATAAAAAGTTCGATAAAATCACTATAAAATAAATTTAAGTGTATCTGGAGTTTTTTTTTGAAGAGGCACCTCCCACTTTTTCATATTTCCAGGCTGACAACTATGCATATGTTATTCCTGAATATTTTAGCTCTGTGTTATCTTGATTAAATAAAGTATACTTATCCCATCATCTGTTCTAATCTTAATGAGAGTACAGACTATAATTTTTTTAAAGTTGATTGCACCATATATTTTTCAGCAATTAATTCAGTCTGAATATATTTTCTATGCCATGATGCATTCTATAACAAAATGTATTTGGAAAGCTAAAATACAAAATCTAAGATGTGGATTTTAAAGTATTAGCAATATCTTATTACATTATGACATATGACTGAATCAAAAAGAAAATAGGTACCATTTTTTTTCTTTAGCTTATTAGAGCTTTCTGAATTATATATTTAAAAAGATAATACACTCATCCAAATTTCTGTTTTAAGTTTGAGAATATTCCAATGTAAAATATCTGAATTTTTATTTTTTATTACAGTATATTCTGGAATTTAGAATATTCTGTAAAATATCATTTATTTTTTATTACACTCATGTCCATAAATTAAAATAAATATTCACCTGTAAATCCTACACACATCTTCAAGATGATATAACCAGATGACACCGATATTGTACTTTGTGATATTTATTGTACTTTGTTAGTATATTCTGGAATTTTGTTAGAATATTCCAATGTAAAATATCTGAATTTTTATTTTTATACACTCATGTTCATAAATTTGGAGTCAAGCAGAAATCAAACTCTAAAATAAATATATCACCTGTAAAATCACTACACACATCTTCAAGAATCATGTGCAAATTTCAGGAAGTAACCAGATGACACCGATGGTACATCACAATGACAAGAGTATAAGAGAGTGATATATAAGGAATACAGGCAAAGAAGTAAAATTGTTCGCAGGCGCTTTATAAGCATTTCAGTACAATAATCGAATGGTTATGACACAAAGGACGCATTTGGATGATTTTTTACGTGGTAGAATTATCGGCCATCTGGAATGTAGGCATATGCAACTGGAAGTATCAGACGAACTTGGAATTGCCCAGAGTGTCATCTCCAGGCTTTGGCAACGATTCCAAGATGATGGTAATATGAGTAGACGTTACAGCACAGGTCGCCCCAGAGTTACAATGCCGAATGAGGACCGGTATTCGGTATTACCTGCCAAAAGAAACAGGCAGAGACAGCCTCATACCTGTCTCGTCAGCTCTCTTCAGCCACTGGTACGACAATTTCAAGGCAGACCGTGTACAGGCACTTAGGGCAGATTGGTCTATATGCTCGTAGACCTGTCAGATGCGTTCCACTTACTGCAACTCACTGTCGCCTGCGGTTAGCCTGGAGTAGAGAGCATGCATTGTGGACACCGCAACAGTGGGCTTGTGTGATGTTTACTGACGAGTCCAGGTTTCGCTTGCAGTCTGATTCTCGCCGGACTTTCATATGGAGATTCATTTCCTTTGCTTCTTCTCTCTGTTTTTCTTGCTTTGCCTTTCATTAGCTCTCTCTTTTTTTAGTCTTTCCTCTTGTTTTTTTCTTTTTGATTTTTTTTTGGAAGTAATCATGGAATTGTTTTCCAGATACTACAATTGGCATCTTTTCTTTAGAAGTTGTTTTTTTTTTTTTTTTTTTTTTTTTTTTTTTTAGATTTGGTTCCTTGTTTTCATAGAAGAAATGTCTTTTAAATGGACTTGGTACCTTTTGTGAAGGACCTGCAGGATTGGTGTTGCATGAGGTTCTTGCTCTGCTTTTGGGAGGGACACCTGTTGATGTGGCCACTTGGTAAGGTAGTGCAGTTGGAAAAGTGGGACTGTTTGTAGGTAGCTCAACACTTGCAATGTTCTCATCATCGAGTGGTCTGAGATTCATATCATTTTCAGTTATTGGAATCAAAGAATCATTTCGTGTAGTAGTGTTGTATCTTCAAGCATGTTAATGTCATTCAACATTTCCTCTGCTTGATGTATTAATTCAGTTAACTAGTAACCTAGTAATACTCAAGTAAGTACTTAAGAAAGTATAGATACCTTTCCATCGGGTACTTTTCCCTCCACTTTGCATTTGAGAGTTGTATGAGGAACACCGAATTTCTTAGCAGCTTCTCTTATTGGTGTTTTATGTAGTAAAACGTCGTTCACCGCTTTTAGTAAAGTCTCTTCTGTGTAATTTCGAAAATTATCTTTTGTAGGAGGCATCGTGAAATTCGAATAGCCTTAAAAAGTCAAAAAAGTAAGGTAATTCGGAAGTTGACGATGAGTTATATCAGAACTTGACCATGGTGGTCAAGTACTGTATTTGTGCTGTTAAGGTAAATACATTTTCTTGTAACATTGCACTCGTTCCTAAGCTGAGAAAAAGTTTTTTTTTAAATGTCAGTAGTTGACCACCATGGTCAACTTCTGAACATCAACAATTAGTAGATTCAGTAGTTGACCACAACAAAAAAATAGATAAAGGGACGAGTAAACCACATAATTCACGAGTCATTGTGTTCAATAATACATGCATTTAATAATTATTTGTTTGCTGAATTGAATAATGCAAATAAATAACTGTACTTGCACAAAAACCGAAGTCGATCCCTAACCGAAATGGTAATCAGGCATATTATTAACTGGGAGTTGATAAATGTGATACTAGATGGCAGTAGTGTCTTATAAGCAGGTTTGCACAAATGCCAAACCAAAATATCCCTTATTTTGAAGCTTTTTACCCTGAAATGGTCAACTTTTGGTCTCTCTACCTTAGTTCCTAACCATTTATGTTTCATATATAAGCTCTTGAAATGTATATGTCACTATTGTACCCATTGTAAAGAATAAAATTATATACATTTAGCATAGCAGTGGAATTAAATCCAACTATTACTACACTATTGAAAAAATTAGTCCAACTTGAAAAACACATTCACCAATTAAATTTTAATGTGTAGATTATTTAATTAGATATACAGAATCTATGAATATACAGAATAGGTCTAAAATGCATATGAGATGTATTGTTGGGCTACCATGTCAGTTTCAACTGTTTATATAAGTATTGTTTCCATTATTAAGTAAGAATGTCCTGAAGACTACTGATAACAATGCAACCAGTTTTCATAGTTTCATGAGGTTGCATTGTTTTTAATGAAACGAGCATGAAAATGATGGAATGAAATAGTCAAATATTGCCACCAATGGTTCCAAAAGTAATCAATTAGAGAGAAGCAGCAGACCTAGGATAAGAGCTTACTAGGAGGATCACATGACTATCAGACTTGTAGTATTGTGAAGCAGAACTACAAGATAGGTGAGAAGTTCTAAATGCCACTTTTGGTGTCTGCCTTTAAAAACAGCAAAGCTTATTCTGGTGTCACAGCTTTAGAATTTTATTCGATTTTTAAACAAAATAATTCCATTATTACTGAATATTTCCTTTGTTCCATTTTAATCAAATAATATTTTCTAGATGCATGGAGTTTTTTTATCCTTTTCTTCCCTTTCCCCAACTTTAATATAGAGACTTGATGTATATATGTTACCGTGAAAGACCGAAATTGGAGAATGTCAACATTCACCAAATACGTCAGTGAAAGATCGAATATTGCATTATATTCTTGTACATTCGGACCCTCACCGGTGTATGTCGACAATCACAGATATGCTCTGGTGTAGGTCGAAAAGAGAGAGTATATATACGCTGTCACAGCAAA